TATATTCCTGAAAACCCTCATGGTGGGTATCTTTTTAAGAGCTTATGAAGAAAAACAGGTTTACTTGTGACTTCAGTTTTCCTTACTCTATTTAAAGTAAAATAATAACATCACATTAAAGAAAAAATGTATTTTGCATATAATTTTGTATGGAATTTCTGACCTAATTCTTACCTTTATTGCTGCGATGATAGCCATGTGGATTGGGGCCACATGGTATGTACGAGACCTTAAGTGATGTTCCACTTCTTAAACTTGCTCCGATAGCTTCCTCTCTTTTCTTCATTGTACGAACTGTAGATTCATTTATCCCGAGCATCTGATCAGCAGTACTAAATCTTAAACCTTCATGCAACTTGTTAAGCACTTTGATTTTTTTTCTTCTAAGCTCATCACAATCTAGATCAAGGGTCTCCAACCTAGAGCCCGTGAACAGTGTGAAGTCGAATAACTTTACCTCAGGTTCACTTGTTTGTTGTTCTTGAGTTTTCTTGCATTGTCTATTTATTTTACATCGAAATATCAGGAGCTAAGAGGAGAAAAGTTGACGAAGAGTGTCATGTTTTAATAAGAAGTGGACTGAAAAATATTTTGTGATTGAAAGCAATAAAGCGTTGTGCTTAATATGCAGTGAAACCGTCCCTTTTCTCAAGGAGTGTAATATCCAAAGGTATTACAATACGAAGAGCGGAAGTACTCAGACTCGATGCAAAATACGTTAAGATAAAGTAGAAACACTGAAGAAAACCTTAATTTATCAGTGTGAAATATTCACAAAGCGATCACAACAATCAGAATCCATTGTAATGGCGAGTTTCAGAATATCCCATGTCATAGCTAAGGCAGGGAAACCATTTACTGATGGGCAGGGTATAAAAACTTGTATTATGAAGGCTTCTGATGAACTCTATTCAGAAAAGGTTGCTTTGTTCGAGCAAATAAGTCTGTGAGCTAATACAATTGCTTGTCGCACAGAAGACCTGGGAAAAAACAATTATTCTGCACTGTATCATTCATCAGCAGGCTTTGTGCGGTAAAAATGTACAATTATCTGAAGTAATGGATATAGTTGTGAAGACTGAATTTTATACGATTGTCCTCCCTTAATCATCGTCGGTTTAAAAACTTCCTATCTGAAATTGAAAGTTAATATCTGGACGTTCCATACCACTGTGAGGTTTGCTGGATCAGCAAAGCTAAAGTGCAAAGAGCTTTTTTGAATTAAGTACAGAAATCAATATTTTCATGACTGAGAAAACAACCTATTAACGCCCTCTCTGACTCTCTGAGTGTTTGGTTTTGGAAGCTCGCCTTTCTTGTGGATTTGATAGCACATGTAAGTGAACTGAATGTGAAACTTCACTGCAAAAATTTCTGTCATTTCATATTTATTTTCAGGTGTAAAATCCTTCAGATACAATTTTTTTCTTTTTGAAAAACAGGTGGCAGCTAACAATTTTGTTCATTGAGCAACAGAAATTAATGTGCTGAACCTTTTCTGGTTCCGTTCACTTTAAAAGTGATTTCACATTTAAAGCAACAATTTCAGGACTGTTTTCAAGATTTTGACAGTATCTCAGAGAAAATAAGATTGTTCCAGAACCCTTTTGCAAGTGAAGTTAAAGATCTTCAGCCTGAGTTGCTGCTCAAAGTAATTCACCTTGCTGAAGATGACTTGTATAGGGATCTGTTAAAGAAAAGGATTTGTTAAACTTCTATGAATCACTGCCTGAAGAGAGTTTTAAGAACATTTTCTGTCTTTGCCTCCACATATTTGTCTGAACAAATATTTTGGAATATGTAACATCTAAATATTGAACATCACTCTCTGATGATCAACTCAAGCAGCGTTTGATTCTGGGGGCGACCAAAGTTTGAACCAGAATTTGAGGACATTCTGTTGCACAAGCAATTCCAATTATCGCGGTTTGTACACATACAGTATGTTAGTATTTCTTTTAGTTCTGTTTTTTCATTTGAATATTACTATACATGACATAAGTGTTTTCATTAAATTTATTAGAAATTGTAAATTGTGGTGCTTATGTATTCCTCCATCATAAAATTGCCCTGTCTACCCACCCTCCCATTGTCTGGCCCTCTTGTCTTTCTTCCAAAGCAAATGTGGCCCTCAAGAAAAAAGGTTAGAGACCCCTGATCTAGATTGCTTAGCATCATTGGACTCTTCATGCTTTCTCGTATGCCTAGGAGCCATATTAATGGAAATTGCATGCATGTCTGCTTGCAACAGAGGCTGACTGAGAAAGAACTAGACCAGACCCCTCTCTCTCCTCTTCTTGGAAAATGAACTGTCATGCCAGCACACATCGCAGTTCTCAGGTTCTTCTTGACCTTGTGGACTCTCAAAATTTGGGTTTCATGCAAGGTGAAATGGCATACAGAAAATGGAGTGCAGATTCTCAAAACCCCATGAGATAAATTCACACACACCAGTGGGTGACTGTACAGTTCATCTTTATTTTTGGAAGGAAGGCTGAGTATTCTAAGGAGTACTTCAAAAACCTTTCTGTGCCCCTTAGGATTCAAATTTCCTCTCAATGTCTTTGGTTTCAAGTGATTTAGCTTCCCTCACATGTCACATGACAATCCCCTAAGAGTCATTCTGTTTCTCTTTAAACTTTCTTGGTCTTTAATATTTTTTGTGATATTATGACTAAAACTGAGCACAATATTTTACTAATGTTTTGTAAAGCTTGGGCAGTACCTGCTTGATTTAAATTTAGTGCATGCACTTTAGTTGCTTTTTATATAGCTTGACCTTGAATGTTTTGATGAGAACCTAGAATCTTTATAAATGCCCAGACCTCTTATTTATAACATGTGTGATTTTGATCTGAAGGAAGCAATATGTATAGTGTATATTCCTACTTCATGTGCGTCTGCCTATTTTTTCATTGTATCCTAAGGGACATTTGAAATGGTTTTGAATTTCTTTCTTTTCAGTTGTTGATTAGTCCTTCCTAATAGCTCAGGTTACATTTTCTTTTTCAGGAAAAAGCCGTAGTGAGCTGTAACCCTGAAAACATTGCTTACTTTTTACGTAAACATGAGTAATCGCACAGTCACACCTTTTTTTTGTAATGGAATGTCTGTATAGAGTGGAGGGTAGGACAGGACACTTGCTACTGGATGACAGCTGCTTTTCTCAGTTGATTGGCTGTCTGAAATAGTCGTTTTTCCAGAAATACTGGTTTGCTCGGCAATGAAGTGTTTTTCGCTATGCTGTTGCCATTTATCATTTGGTAGGGAGGATAGCTGGATTTGGGGGAAATAAGAGCTTGGCTGCTTTATTTACTTTTTTTGCCGCTAAGTGATAACCTACCTCCTGAAAAGGGAGTGAGTGGTAAATGATTGACAGCTCATTGGACTGTCAGTTTTGCATTGCTCATTGAACCTGTAGCCATGCCTGCGGGCATTGACTCTACTGGACTTTAGCTTGCACTGTAAAAGGGGTTAAAGGTCCTGGTCGTGGGCCAGTCATAGCCCTCCATCAGTGATGCACCCTGCTCCGTGGAGGCCAAACCACAGGAGGATTACTTCCGAACATAACGCTCTTTTTGGAGGTTTGGGGAGAGATCATGCCCTCAAGGCCAAAAAACAACTTAACTGCAGGATTAGGTCATTGTGTTGCAGTGCTAAAAGCTCAGTTGAACCCCAGCCGTGTTATAGAGTGAGAGCCTGATTTTCTGCAGCATTTGGAAGAATAACAGTGAAGAGATGCTGAAGTAAACGGTAATCCAACTTGAGTGAATTTCAAATTAAGGTGCTGCTTTAAGAAAATCAATCCCTGTTTAGTTGAAGCCTTATCTGAGGTGACAGAAATAGAGCATCCCAGTACAATTCCACTTGGAGAAACAGGATTTTCTGAGTATTCTGGGGAAAGATTACAACTCGGTCTACGCACTGAAATCTGGTAGTGTCTTCATTCTGCTGCACCCATTTGATAGTGCCTAGAAGAACATCTAGCTCTGGATTAAATTATGGGGTGTTTGAGTTTGTGATGTCCAGTTGCATTGGATATACCCAAACACAGTGGCTCATGTTCCTTTCAGCTGGAGGTGATTTGTTTGGGTGTTGTGACTGAAGGAAATCAGTTATTTTTTTATGCTTAATGAATCAAATGAGACACTTCTAGATCTCAAGTCTACTGACCTAAACATTTAGTTTCTTTACGTTAAATGCTGCATTTAGTGGCTTTATAAAGAGACTCCTGGAACTTGCTGGTGACTAACATCCCATTTCCAAGGAAGAATATTATTTTTTACCATGTGCAGAGATAATCAGAAAATGTGTGTAGCTCTCTCTGGCTTGAAGCACTGTGTGAAGCAGAGGGTGTAGAGTCCAGGGGATGGATTTAGTGTCCTGGCTGTCTAAAAACAACCAGCTCTTCAGAATAAACAGTGAAACTAGAGAATGCTGGGGTAGAAAATGAGAACATGAGGTAGTTCTTTACGCAAACGTTGGTGGGAGTCTGGAACAACTATCCCAGCCATGTTATTGAAGCAATTTCCTGCTTTTCTTTCAAGAATCTGTTTGATGAGGTCCTCAGATCGCTCAGCTTTTGGAAACCAAGCAAGATAGCCCAAGTGTCCTCTTTGTTTTTTCAATTCTGTTTAAGTCCTTTATTTCTGCTGTCCATTGGCTATTGGCAGAGAAAACATGGCCAGAAGGTAAACAGTCATGCACCGCTGTCCCAGTTTGCACATGTGGGGAGTTGTGATGAGGTGGTGGGAACTTGGAACAAACGTAACGTGGACGTCTGCAGGTTTAAAAGGGTGCTGCGGCTACAGTGTGGGAAGGAGACCAGGAAGGAGTTGCTGTGGTTTCAGGTTGAGCAAGTTGCAGGTTGATCTAACGTCATTACAAGGAACCGTGGGGGCAAGAACAGCTACGCTGTCACAGATCTTTCAACTATATGACTTTTCTGGTTTGTCCTGGCCGAGTGGTGGAGTCATGATGCTTCTTTGCCCGTCTCTTAGGGACAATCCAGTGGGCTTTCAGAGGATACCAACAGACACTTGACAATGAACGGGTACCACTGTGAGTATGCTGGCATCATCAGAAAGCTGTAGGTGAGGTCTGAACTGTACGTATGTGTATCATTTGTCTGTTAATAGAAAAAAATATCTGTTTGCTTGATTCATTTTGCCAGTGTATAAAGCATTGTATAGTAGCTGTCCTTAAAACAGTTTGTATGACCCATAGCTGTAGAATTTAAAAACAGGTTTGAACCAGCAGAAGTATTTACAAGGCCTAGTCTGGTCTTGTGGGGCTGAAGTAGAAGAGAGAATTGCAAGTAAGACAGTATTTCTTGTGTTTTTAAAGATGTCCTAAAAATAGCCACAGTACGTTGTGAAGGAGACAAAGTACTGATCTGTTCCCGAGGTTCTTATGGTGTGAAAGAAAATTGTTTCCTTGGTGAGCTGAAACCGATCAGACAGGAGAAAGTCTTTTCCCCCATGACACCTGGACATGAGTGCACAGACTAGACAAACAGGAGGTTATTATATCCCAAAATAGATTTAAAGCTTTATTTATTTAGTTCAGACAGCAGCAGCAAACACCTCCCACAATAAGGCCAGCCAAAATATCAGCAGTGTCTAAGCCTGGCAGATGTTTATACTGTATATGCATGTATGCAAATGTAAACTAATACTTACAAAGCAGAGTATACCTCACTGGTCAAAAACTGGTCTCCCTTGGAGTCTGCTCAGTACATTACTACTATATAGCTGAAGGTTCTGTGGAAAATTCCAGGTCCACAGATTGACTTTGTGATTTCTATGTCTATTAACAAGCCTAGTTTTGCAAGGTGAGGCAAGCTTGAAATGTTCAGAGTGTTGTGCAGAAGTCAATTCCAGAGGAGGCCAAAGTTCAAAACCCAAGAATATCTCTGGTGTGTCAAAAAGCTTTGGGTGTGCCTTACTCATTTCAGTCCGCCTTCATGCTGTGAATGAGCTTTATTACTGAGTATTGTGACTTAAGGAAGTCAGTCATTTTTTGTACTTGCGAATATTGGTCTTAACTGTGCACCAAAATTTAATTTCTCTTTCATGTCTGGGCTCCTCCAATCCTTGCAGACCCAGGATCCTGAAGGTTTTGCAGGTGCTTTTCAGTTACCGACTCAGCTGAGCCAAGTAGGAGTTGGGGCTCTGGGGGTTTATCTGTAACTCTGTGGGAATTACTGTTAAAACTTTTGAGCAAGGTGCTTTTTTCAGATTGCTGCAGTACAGTGCCTCACTATACAGTATAAATGGGTACAAATGTTTGTCAGCCAAATAACTTAAGAGTGACAACCAGGATTTGACCATAAAATGAATACAGTAAAATAACTCCAATCCATTGCAGAATGCAAATCTGAGGGCCCTTGAGAACTGGGTTGCTCATTCTTGCTTTACTGCAGTCTCTTAAAAACCATAGTTGAACTTGGGAAGGAAGGTGTAACGTGGTTTTATATGGAACTTGACACTGAGGTCAGGTTGGGCTGGGAGTGTTCTGCTCCTGTTTGTTGTAGTACAGGGGGATGCTGGGTGTCAGGTAAGAGTAAACACTACAGGCAGGGTGCACGGTGGCATAAAAAAAGCAGCTAACCCAAGCATGCACTGGGAGGCAGAAACCAGCGTGTGGCATTTCAACATTTTTCCTCATTTGGCAGTGGCTCAGCATATTGAACAGTGACAGCACTCACAGCTGTTAATGACTGGCTCACGTATAATAGCAAATGGAAAAATGTTCAGAGTTAGTTAAATGCAAATGATATTATTGATTTTTTTAGTCTTAGCACAAAACAAGTGCTGATTACAGTACAACTGATTGACTGTTACAGCTGAATAATAATGTAAGTGATTAATTACTGTATTTTTCTTTCCAAATTCTCATTGGGTTTTCTGCTAGCGGGTCCCTGCCGCTCTTCATCCTCCCGCTCCAATGCTTTTGAAATATTTGATTGAACTGAAATTGTTTATCTTTGATAACTCTCCCTGATTGTTTAAAGGTAAGGTCAATGGAGAAAGCTTAATGGGCCTGGAGTGCACATGGTCACAGAGGCCCTTCAGCTTTCAAAATTAAACACTGGAATTTCATACATGAACAGTAGTTTTAAGGCCTCATCATACCAGTGTTCTGAATTTACTTGAAATAGTTTAATACCTAAACAATTCTTTTGTGTTAGCTGACACAATTAAAAAGTCTCAAGCTGATGAGGAAATGAAGAGTGTATAAAATGAGCTTTAGGACTTTGGAAATGATGCAGTTTTCTGAAAGCATGGTTTGTTACTATTATGTTATGTACCTCTCTGAACATGGTGTTATTGCCTAACCTGTTTTCACATTGGTGAAATTCAGCAGTTAGACCCCAGTCTATGACAACAGCCAATTTTTTAAGGGTTTCATCATTCAAAATCTATAAAGAAAACAGTGATTCAGACATATCTAATTTAATTTGTCTCAGTTGTTAATGGTTTGTATTGGTGTTTTTTTCTCGACGCATAGTATGACAAGGGTTATAGGCCCGTTTTTGCTCAATCACTGCACATCTTTGTTTTTGACGAAGTTCTAACAAGCAAACCCGCTAGGACAGTTCCTGGAATGCACACAGCAGCTAATGATCTCCTTGCCAATCAACTCTTCCTTTTGTTAGTGAGTTAACGATCTTGCCTGCAGTGCTGGTGATCTGGGTTCAGTTTCTCTTTCCCTTCAGCCCTTTAGTATCATTACTGTCCTGTAACGAAATGAAGCCAGGCCTCTTCACTCAGCCTCCCTGCGTCTCCTCTCTTGGCAGTCATGGAATCAATGGCAGTGAGCACCTCGGTCATGGGCTCGGCGGATGAGTTTGACCGCAATGTGCCGAGGATCTGCGGCGTCTGTGGAGACAAGGCCACTGGCTTCCACTTCAACGCCATGACCTGTGAGGGATGCAAGGGCTTCTTCAGGTATGAGAAAAAGTGCTCGGGGGGAGTCCTTCAGAAAAACTACTGTATGTGCAAATGAAGTAAATGAGACTCCAACAGAGTACCAGTCTGTATACTGTATGTGACAATATGGACTGCACTTAAAAAGCTTTTTGCTTTGTTTGCTCGACTGTTGAACAAACGGTCATGCCCCACTGTGCATTTGATCTTTTCGTGGGTAGCACTCATTTTTCACCTACATAATAACCAGTGCATGTTTACGTTCATTAGTTGTTTGAAATTGCCCTCCAGAATTCAAATGTTTGGAAAGCCACTACATCTGATTAAATCATTTGGGGATCCTGACAAATAAGCAAAGGTACTAAAGATTATTTATCTGTTCTTGCAAGCTTTTTAAAACTAGAAGTACTATTTCTTTCCACAACCAGGTAGTTCTGAGCTGAATGGTAGTTCAGAGCTTCACAGGTGATTTATTCAGTGGGAACTCCGTTTTATGTTTTATGTAAAGTTTATGAATTATGTTTCTATGATGGTAGTTTTTCTTTTTTTTAAATCCCAAATATATTCTTGAGTTGTGATCTGCACTTCATAAAGGTGGCCATGAAGGAGAGAGAAGGTGAAGCTTGTATCTGTGTTCAGTTCCTGCTAACCTTTGTCCCTCAGTCAGACCTGTTTGGCTGTGCATTTCCTCTAGTTTGTGAACTGTGGAGCTGTTTACCACATTCTACAGTATACCCATTCCTCCCCCCACAATTTCTTTGAATTGTAGCATGGTTGTGCAATGTGCCAGAGTTCATTCCCAGAGTCTGCTGGGCCACAGCAGTCATGAATGAAGATGGACCAAGTGCGTGTGAAAAGGCTCTGTTTGTTACCGGTGGCTGATGTTCCCTGATGAAATGCTTGGGCTTTGTTTGCTTTTCAAATTCGTTTCTTAGAAAGAACCCTTTTTTTCATAGTTCCGGAAAATTCAACCAACCGCCAAAAAAATCCAAAAACAATTTTGGAAAAAAACGAAGTTCAACGGTGCAAAAACCGGGAATAACCGCCGGTCCCGCCTTTTAACAAGTTGCCTTAAAAAAAAGCCCCCGGGCCAAAAAAAGGGATTTATTTTTTTGTCCCCATTGTTTCCTTCTTTACAGTGCTTTTAGTGTGGCAGTTCAAGCTGTTCTGACACTGATATACAATATACTATTAGTATTAATGATTCCTTTCTCTTTATAGCCTCTCTTTTTTGTCTCATTTGCCTGTAGTAGGTCATTCGTTTTATATCATAAATGCCTGTTGCTATGTCTGGCTACATAATATTAATATTAACATCCTTGCATGTATTCATTACCTTTACTCAGGGTGTTATAAATAGACTGGTTATCCTACACAGGAGGTTTATTGCACAATGAGGGTCTCAATGCAGCGATTATCTTTTAGAACGCACTGTGCAGGAAGCCTTTTTAAATCCAGCTCTGATACATACATTTCAGTTCACAAGAACATAGGAAGGTTATAAAAAAGAAGAGGCGATTTGATCCATCTAGAATCGGTTTAAGAGATGAACTTGAATGCACGGCGCTTGCTGAGATTGTCTTCATTCCCCAGGCGTAGTATGAAGCGCAAAGCCACCTTCACCTGCCCCTTCAACGGCAGCTGCACCATAACCAAGGACAACCGGCGGCACTGCCAGGCCTGCCGCCTGAAGCGCTGCGTGGAGATCGGCATGATGAAGGAGTGTGAGTACCCCAGCCGCGCCCCTCCACAGCAGCCGTTATTGGGGATCCAGAGCTGCTCTTTTAAAAGTCATTGCTCTTAACCAGGGCCCTCAACAGAAAAGCAAAAACATTGAAACCAAGCATTCCTTTTCCCATGAGGAACACTGCCTGTTGAACGAGACTCTTGACAAGGTAGAAGCCTCTCTTGGGGTGGCATGTTCTCGGGCTTTTGCCCCTCCCCCCAGCACTGGTCACGGCCTCGAGTGTGCATCACTGTTCGGTGCTGGATGCTCCAGTGGTATTGTTCTCTTGACACTCATGTTTCACAATGGTGTTAACTTGACCGGGCTTCTTTTTATATTGAAAATCTAATTAAACATGGAAGCTTAGGAAAAATAAAAAGAACCCATTTTTGGGAAATGGCATGTCAGAAAATGTGACTCATGGCCCTCTAAAACACAACAGGGACTCTAGGGTGTTTTTTTTTTCTTGTTTAGAGGAGCTTTTAGTTGACCCTGAGTCTTGAAACAGGTCAGTTACTCCGACTTACAGTAGGTGGCTGGCAGTCATGACCATCCTCCTGTTGTGCCCACGGGCCCCGGTAGTGTGTCAGACAGCACTGTGTGCTCATGTAGCAGTAGGCCTTCAGTAGTAATGAGGAAAGAAAACAAGTATTATACCTTGGGTAAGGGTGGCTCAATGCCAGTGAGAGAGCCGTGTAACTGTGGTGATCATTGACCGTGGGAGTGAGGCCCGATGCGATGCAAGTCCTGACAGACCTGTATGGGCAGATTTGATTAATGAGTGTTTACTTGTGCCAGTGTGTGCCTCAGCCTACGCTGCTCGGTTCTGCTGAACTCCACCCATGCAGGGCGGCATGTGGCCCACATAACCCAGGGGAGCCAGCTCTGTTTCTGCGCTTGTCTTGAAGTTTGTCGCTCTGCCTCTGGAAGTGCTAAGAGGTTGTCTACAATTTAAAATTGTAATCCCTTTTGATTTTCTCTGTATGGTACTTAAAATGTGGAGATGTGCTTTAATGCTTATTACTTAATCATACCTCCACTCTAGATGCACTTTTAACTTGAAATGTGCTTTTTAGTATTCTGGGGAAGGGTTTTTCCTTACTGTTTAGTTGTCTTGGGTGCTGAATGATCTCATCCTTTCCTCATAGTAATGCTAAGAAAAGCTAGTGTTAGGGGAGGATGCACCTCAAGTTTTCTGCAGTGCAACGGTGTTTAGACGAAGTTTTTATTAAAAATAAATCAGATTGAGTTAATGGTGACTGGCCTTTTGGATGTGGCTCTTCAGGACCAGGTTTGGTGACAATCAGTGTATTACATGGCATTTGACTTCAGAGATGCAAACTGGTAATTTATATTGCCCCATTCATATTACATTTGTGCTAATCTTTGGCACTACCGTGTTTTCCTGTGTATGCGATCTACTCTGGTCTTTCAATAAGATTTAAAAACCTTATTTTTTTAATCATTCAGTTTCAATTGTCAATAGATGTATACTTTTCAGGATTTGTTATAATTTGGGTAGCATTTAATATTTTAATTTGTGTGAAAAGAGCAAAAATACAACAGATGTTTTATTCCAATCCCAGTCTGTTCCAGGAAACAGACAGCCAGCCCAAGAACAGACTGTGGTGACCCGTGCCTTCCCCCAGTCTCTAGGACGACAGTGTTATCAGGGAATAGGGCTGCCTGACACCACTGCTCGGCTGCTGTGCTGGATGCTTAAAAAGAGCTCTTCGAAGCAGCTTTGGAGCTATTATAAATGACTCATTCACTGCAATTTCATTATGCTTAGTTGGGACAAGGTATTGATTTCATCATGATTCGAGATATTACATTTTTATTTAAGGTAGTCAGTATTTTTTAGCACATGACAATGTTGCCATTTACTAATGTTACACTCTTTTGTGTTTTGAGTGCTTTCATTTTGCAAAAAGAAAACCAGTCTAAATCTTTTGTACACTCATACGGTTTAATGTTTTTCCTGAATGGAGTGGAGTTCATACTTTATCCGTTAACCTAAAATTGTGAGCTATGCACTTTTTATATTATCTTAGGTCGCATAAATTGTCTCTAATAGAAAGTACTCGTGCATTTTGACATTTTGTATGTTTACAATTTCTTTGAAAACTGGAGAATATGAGAGTAGGATGCTACTGGAAAAAATAGCAGGCTACACATGTGAGGAGACCATTTAGTCTCCTTTACTTATTTAAGTGTTGGAAGCTCATTCAGTTATTTCTGAAGAGGTCCTGTAAAGTCCACTTTTAATAACATGGCTGTATAGTTTATTCCAGACAGTCTTTTTTCATGGTATCAAGGTGACCTACATTTCAAGCCCAAATAGGTTTTCTCCTAATAGTGGTGTTCTGTAGGGCATTATTTGTTGAAGTATCCAGTTGTCAGATTCACTGAATTAACTGGGGAGATTTTGGCTGAAGGGGTGCACTGATGAGGTGACCATAAAAGTGAGCTTTTTAAAAAAACGTAATCTATTTTTATTATATAATTGCCCATCTCCGCAATGGACATCTATCACCTTGTCAGTGGAGGGGTGTTGCTTACTGGAGTCACACAATCCTGCTGGTACTGTGAAGTTGCATAGGTCACAGTTTATATAGCTGAAAGGAACCCCAAGGCCCCACCCCTCTTTTAAGATAAGATAAGATCACTTTATTAGCCATATACAATTTCTTGCATTAGGAATTTATTTTCGCATACCCAAGCTTGCTCTTTATGAGACACACAGGCACACATAGGAGAGAGAAGCTTGGGGTCAGAGCGCAGAATCAGCCATTTATACGTCGCCCCTGGAGCAGTTGGGGTTAAGGGCCTTGCCCAGGGGCCCAATGGAGTAGGATTCCTCTGCCGGCTGCAGGATTTGAACCGGCAACCTTCCAGCCACAGTCGCAGGAAAATGAAATCAAATGCTGTGAAACTCCTCTTTGGCATAACCAGGCAAGGTGTTTGCTCAGATAGCAAGTCAAGCCATGTAGCCCAGATATCACAAGTTCACCAGACACCTACAGGTTTCAGGTAACATAAGTAGGTAATGCTCTGCTCCCTTAATCAGTGCTCAGTGCCCTACCAGGCACAGCGGAGCTTGCAGCATATCAAAAGATGAAGGCTACTAATCGATGTTTAAGGTGCAGGCGAGGCAGTTTTTCCCACCCAGGAGTTGTAACATCAAAGCCGAAGCCCGGGTTGTGGTGTTGTGACTCTCCGTGTGTTTGTCCATGGCAGTCATCCTGACAGACGAGGAGGTGCAGAGGAAGAAGGACCTGATCATGAAACGGAAGGAGGAAGAGGCCCTGCGGGAGGCGTCACGGCCGCGGCTCAGTGAGGAGCAGAGCAGGGTCATCTCCATGCTCGTGGAGGCCCACCGCAAGACCTATGACGACTCCTACTCCGACTTTAAGCAGTTTCGGGTCAGCACAACTGCTACTGCTGTCTGCCCCAAGGAACACGTGCACACACATGCTCATTACATATTCTTGCACGCGTTTGCAGAGATGTGCTTGATCTCCCAGGCATGCATAGGTCTCTGCCCTTTCTCATCTCTCCCAGAAGCATTCTGCAAGCAAAGCAATACATCTCCCACAAACACTATAGACTTAAATAAATTAGTCGGACCCAAACGTGCACAGTGAGCAAACTTGTGTATGAAAAGCAAGCCTGGCATTTAAGATGTGCATCTTCATTTCCTTTAATGTAAAATGACTTTTTCTTTTTGATCTTGGCTGTTTGCTGTGCAGTGCTAGTCATGGATTATGTTCTCATCAGTGTGTTTGAGGCAGCCAGAAGTGACGGGTGGTGTTCTGCGATCTTTCAGCCTCCAGTAAGGGAGGGACCTGTGACGCGTAGCGCTAGCCGAGCCGCATCCCTTAACTCCCTCAGCAACCTTTCTGATGCCTCCTCCGACTCCTTTAGCCAATCACCAGGTGAGCCAAGAGCTAGTTACCTGCAGCCTTTGTAAACATGAGACCCCTGTGCAGTTGGGGGTCCTGCAGTACATGTTTCACTATATTCTGGACACTACTTCAGTAGCTACTGCAACAATGACATCTTTGTGACATCCATTCTCTTACAAGATGTTTTACAGATCTGATCGTGGTAAATTAGTTTCCCACTGCACAGAAATAGTCAGTTAAGTGAGGGTCAGTTCTTTCTTGAAAGTATTAATTGGATTAAATGGAACAAAAGCACAGAAAAGAAGTGCCAAGGGTGCCTAGTTGCCTAGCTGCACTGCTTTGTGTTCTCGATCAAGTAGTTATTCTGCATCATTTTACATTCCCCCGTCAGCACGATCGTAGCAGAGCGTGGCCATTCACAGCAAGTTTGCTTCTGGTCTATTTTTGCTGCATAAAGTCTAAGAAGAAAACTATAAATCTGTTGCATTTTCACATCAAGAAATACATATTACAGTATCTGTGCCACAAAGATGTTTTTGTCAACAATTCTTCTTATGCTGAATCTTGGATGTCGCAGCAGGGTTTCCTAAGTAGGAAATTTAAGCACTTGACAAACAGTCCCTCTCTGTTATATGCAGGAATGGACCCTACTCATAGAATCAGATTTATCTACATTCCTGTTTTTCAGCATGTGCCTTATGCCATGGTCCCTCTTGTCCTTTTCAGCATGCTTTCAATCTGTGCTGAAGTGTGACTGTTGCTTTAACAAACATTGCAGGAAGCGAAGATTAAAACTGAGCATGAACCAAGTAACACCTGAATTTAAAAGCTTTCTCATTACAACAGGTCAAAATATAAATTGTCAAAACCAGAAAATGTTGACTCCCACTCACCGCTAATTAATTAGCCTGTGTCTTTATCATTTCTGGCACCAGCCAAAGAAACATAGCGCTTCCGTGACACTGATTGAGGGTTGGGTCATATGAACTAATGAGTAGAGCGGAGGCTGAGAATTTAAGTAAACCCAGTACATTTAATCAGCCTGGGCTTCAATATATTTGTGTGTGATTCTGCAGTGGCCTAATGATCACAAATACTGTTAAAGAGGGACATGGTTCACCCAGTTCATTATGTGCATAGTGGGTACAAATAACTTTGGTTGCTTTTTGCACGTATACTGTAGATGAGACTATGGAGAACATGTTGACAATGACTGTGCACCCTAGAGGGTGCTACAGTAGCAGATATGCTGATGATATAACCTGGGAAGATGCTGTTCAATCTTTGTTGGATAGCAGTGGTGTTTTTGCCCTCTGGTGGATAATGCTATTCTCCATGGCCACATGTTCCTCATGGTCTAAGCTGTACGTTTACCAAGTGACCATATGTCATCGTCAGTTTTCAAATCATCATGATTTTCATTATACTGTGTTGTCACCTAACCTATTAAAATGTATTGTGCCGACAGAGTCGGTGGACATGAAGCTGATGAACTTCAGCAACCTGTTGGCAATGTATCAGGGAAACAGCCCAGAACCCCAGAAGGACCCCACCGGACTCTCCATGCTGCCCCACCTGGCTGATCTGGTCAGCTACAGCATCCAGAAGGTCATTGGGTTTGCCAAGATGATCCCTGGGTTCAGGTACACAAGCCAATGTTGGTGTTTTCGGAGGGTGGTTCCAAAATACTGCTTTGATGTCTAAATTGATTTCTTATTTTTTTGCAAAACAGACAAGGAGAAGGTGAGAGCCTCACTTCTCATTATTTCACCATGTTGGTCAGGAAGGAAAGGAGAAATATCGGAACTATCTTGCATACTTTTTAAGCAGTGTTGAACTGGATTATCACGATACCTACTGAGCTGCTTTTTTTACAGGCCACAGCCTGTCCTCTGTGTCAAGCAGAGGTAAACTGCTGCAGGCCCTTTCTACCATGCCAGAAGAACTTACCTGTCCTAATGTGTACTGATTACAACCAGTGATTTACCAAAGAAGGAAAGGTGGTATCTGTCAGTTCTGCATTCATGCTTATTCCTTAGGTATACTTCTTTCCCATTTCCCCTGATCATTATTTTCAGACAAGCTGATGTTGGTGGAATGGGCATTTGTGGGAAAAGAAATTTTCACCCAAAAGTGCGAGCTGAAATTTACATTAAAGGGAAATTACATAGCCGATGAAATGATAAAAGATGCCAACAATACTGGTTGCACTGGTTGCAATAAACGGCATTTAGCTGTGGATGTCTTTAGATGCATGTTTTAAATTCCAAAATGTTTTTTCTTTTGTTGACTATGCTTTATGAAAGCAATTAGCAATTCATTTCGTTTTAAATGTAAAGATGTGTTCACATACGTAATTTATATTAAAATAATTTTAATTTTAGTACTCGGAAGAGAATGTTTTTAAACAGTGTGGATCAGGAGTTCCGTGTAGCATTGTCCATCACTGCACCGAAGTTTTCTCTTAAATTTTTCTCATTAAAATTTTGGTAATTTCTTGCAATGTGAATCGATTACATGTGAATCAGGTTTTGAAATCAGTCTGGGATTTCTAAAATTACTGGTGAAATATCAAGTTAAAGGGAATTTTCATTCTCAAGCACATAAAATTTAATTTAATGTCTGTAATGTGAGTTAAATATTAATGCTCTTAGAGGTGCCCACTTTTGTTTCTTTTCCTAAGACTGTCAGTATTTAGTTGATTAAAAATGCAGCAACACTCAGATAAGCATTTCAACAATTGGCTGCAACTCGATTATTTGCCATGCATCTGTCGAAATCAGGATGCCTCCTGTGCTCTGGTTTTTGGAAGGTTTGTGACCTCTGCTTCATAGAAAGAAGGAAAACTAGATGGCAAGTGTTACTTAAACTTAGCTTAACTTCTTTTGTTCAAACATGATCTATATTTATTTGTAAAAATGGAGCCTGGGGCATTCTTCCTTTCCTTTCTGTTGTCTCTTCTTCCAAGCTGCTGTTAGGTTGTCACTGATGGTGACAAGGTGTGTTGAAGTATTGGACATCGGGGTGTGACTGGATTTTCTTTATGCACAATTTTCAGAGACCTGACTGCGGATGACCAGATAGCTTTACTGAAGTCCAGTGCCATTGAGATCATCATGCTGCGCTCCAACCAGTCCTTCAACTTGGAAGACATGTCCTGGACCTGTGGAAGCCCAGATTTCAAGTACTGCATCAATGATGTCACAAGGGGTAAGGGGCAGACTGGTCTTAAGACTGCCCACACTGGGGATTCCCCAGTTCCAAGCTCTACATACCAGCTACACACAATTACTGTATAAGCATTATAATGGTTGGTTCTATCTTAGTTTCTTTCTTAGTTTGTGCCAGTATTAAAATAGTTGTTTCTGTGCTCATTCTTAGTTTACTCCAACACAAATTAAGCTAAAAGAAGTTACGATTTTGTAAGCCCTCCTTTGGGTTTGATAACCTTGAAGAGGCATATCATATTGCCTTTTTAACAGTCTCTGTTGTAGAAATGGGTATAAATAAAATCAGATCACTGTTTACAAATGTATGTTTTGCAGTTATGCTATTCATGTTTTCAGTACTCCTTTTCATACATTATCACCTCCATGTGTACTCCATGTTCAAATCTCTTGATGTATGTGAAGGGTGTGAATTCATTTGGAGTTTATTATGCCTTCAATTTATCACAGTCTGTAAGTAGAACATCTTTTGTTAACTCACCCTCTTGGGTTCATTGATTGTGTGCTGCCTCAGTTTATTGACAATTTATTTCCATCTTGCTACCCTCTGTCCACCAGCTGGACACACAATGGAGCTCCTGGAGCCACTGGTGAAGTTCCAGGTGAACCTCAAGAAACTCAATCTAGATGAAGAGGAGCATGTGCTGCTGATGGCCATCTGTCTGCTATCCCCAGGTAAGAGTCTGTCTGTGTGCCTCCTCTGAAGTGTTCAGCTGAACTTGCATTCATGTTCGCAGCATTAATATTAAGCCCCAAGACCATTTTTGTTCGTTGTGTGTCAGAATACTTCATAAAGTATTTTAATCATGATGCTTAACATCGTGCAGAACAAAGTGCACAGAAAGACAGAATGTGCTTTAAACCAACGGTATTGTAGCGGAGGTTTATCTTTTTCCTTTCTTTGTATTTTGGTTAAAATAAATGGTGTTGAGTTTACAGGCTGTTGCTGGAGGTAGGTGTGGATATTGGCTTTTTCCTCTTTGTTTGAGTTCTCCTCTTTGTCTCTATCTCTGTATATCTGTCAGTAGTTGTGGCTTCTTCCCCTGGATCGAACTTGGTTCACCCTTATGTGTGATTGGTTGTGAATGCTTGCATAGATGCACTTTTGCGTGTCCTTCCATATTTGTTTGACCTTCAGCTACAGAAAAAATGACCAGAGGAGAGTTGGTACTAGAGCACTCTAGTGTCCCCTTAAATGAGCTTATGGGCCCTTTCAGGTCACACCTAGTATTGGGTGCTCTCACGAGATAGGTCAGACTGTGACAAGCCCCTTATGCTTTGTGCTTTTGGCATGTAAGTTCAGCAGTGTCTCATACTGCACCACATGGTTCGTGTATTGCTGTGTGCTATTTGTTTCAGGGCTGTCCCAAACCCTCAGAGTATATGCTGTGACAGTTTGAAGGATAGAGGTATAATATAGGTTAGCAGCTGCAAAAAAACTGAGGCTGAAGTAGTATCTCTAAGGCAAACTAGAGTATAAGTAAGGTTAGGAGCAAGAGGAGGCTATGCAAACATTTTTTTTCCTTTTCAATTTCTTACACTCATGCCTGTGGAGATAATTTTGAAGCTTCCTGCTTTGGCACTTTGGGGAAAAATGCTGGAAGACCCAGGGCAAGGGGGTTTGTCGTAAGTGTTGCAGGTACTGGATCCCAGACGCTGTGTGCGTGTTTTTCAGACCGGCCAGGCGTCCAGGACCACGCACGGATCGAGGCCCTCCAGGACAAGCTGTCGGAGATCCTGCAGGATTATATCCGTGTGCATCGCCGTAGCCGGCTGCTCTATGCCAAGATGATCCAGAAGCTGGCGGACCTGCGTAGCCTGAATGAAGAGCATTCCAAGCAGTACCGCTGCCTGTCCTTCCAGCCAGAGCACAGCACGCAGCTCACGCCCCTGGTGCTGGAGGTGTTTGGCAGCGAGGTGTCCTAGCCAGTGCAGAGCAGGATTAGATAGATGGCTGCTGAATCCTGATGAGGTACCTCCTCTCGTTTCGAGTCCAAAAGGGAATTAGAAGATATTCTACATAGATATATTTTAAAAAAAAGATTGGTTTATGTCAAAATGAATTAATTTATCACATATTGTTTGCAAGGATGTGTGTATATACAGTATGTATATGTGTGCACATTTGCATAAGCATGTACATACTATTGTGAAATGCTTGCTTTCTTTGTGCATAGACATGCTGTCATTTTTGTACACACATATACATAGCTTTCTATAAATACACCTAAAACGCAAGCTGCCTTCTGTTTTTAATGTTTTTTTATAAATATCTGAAATAACCACTTCTGTAAAGTTCAGGATACAGAAAGTGTCTATTTGTAGGTCTTGTTTTTTTTTTATCTCGGTTCCATGTTCGAAGCCCTCGCCTGTCCTTAAGTGCCATTATCGCCCTTCTCAGCATCAGTTTAAAAAAAAAACATTCTTTGTAGGAAAAATGTTCTTTGTTCCCAGTCTCCCATCTTTATCTGCCACAAATCGCACAAGATCAGTTAAAAGCTTAAATCATTTCGGGCTGTTATGCTTTTGAGAAATTACACTGCCCTGTCTATAGTATGATACAGTCAGTACGTTCAGATGATACATTATCTTAAGTGCTGAGGTGACCACAGTGAAGTTTTCACTATTCCACACCTCCATACTGGGTAATACATTTAATGCTTAAAGACTTAGTAGTTACTTGTTGAAGGGGTAAAGAGATCATTGTCTGATTGTTGTTTGTATTGGACTGCCCCCTGGTGGTCAGAAATTGTAAATACTATTCTGTGTATTTAAAAATCAACAGGTAAATGCAAAGATAATTTAAAACAAGTTTCCAAAAATATGCAAATGTTTATTTTTTAATAACACTATGCTTTGCCTAGTACTTTATTTTTGTGTATGGGACGCCTTTGTTGTGTGATATAACTTGGAAATGGGGGGGCTGCAGGGAGGGAGACTTAAAATGTGGTCAGGATGTGTGTTTTTACATTAGAAGACAATGCTCTCGTAAGTGAAAGCCATAGACAGCTGAAACAGTCAAGCGAGCATGTTGCAGCAAGCCTAACAGCAGTGGTACATGACCAGCTACAATTCCAATGATCTGTTCCCCACTTATCCGGGTGAACACGTCAGAAAGCAGGAGCCTATCCTGGAAGAACTGGGTTCAAGGCGGACTGAGGACTCTGATGTTGACCTTGATAGGACCAGACATCACAAGGTCCTGTAGAAACGGACAGTTGAAATGAACCAAAGCTATGTGGCATGTCTTTCGCTGAAGGAGGAAACAAGAGCACATGAGGAAAATGTGCATGAACTCTGGAGAAGAAATGCAAGCTCACCACACCGGTTACCGGAGGTTTAAACTAAAATAAGGACCATGATACTGTGAGGCAGAAATGCGAACTGCTGTGTCACTGTGCCACCTGCTGCGTTTTAGAAATATCGGCTTTGATAAAGATAGCCAAGTTTTCCAAATATTTCCCTTATCAAACATTGAGTTAAATTCAGTAGTTCTGTTCTTTTGTTTACAATAACTTTTTGATTTCTTATCTTTTATATGTATGTAGTTGCTGGACAAAATATTAGGAACCTAAAGCCTAAAGAATAGCAGCAAAAAAAGTTCCATCACCATCCCTAGCCAGAATGATCCCTAGTTCTCCGTTTGCATTGAAAGCTGTATGTGAACCCTACATACAGTTCAGTCCCACACACTGTTACCCTCATCAAAGTTTCACCTCAAAGCAATCCTTCTAGTAGACTGAGATGGGATCAGATTGCTGATATTTCAAAACCCTGTGTCATCCCCAGTTTAGACGGTTCTTGCTGCTCGAAGTAACCTAGCACATTATTTATTGGAGTGTTCCTGATATTTTGACCCATGACTACATCTTCATAACAGCCATCATTCATCAAAGTAGATGTTGCACATGCACGTGGTGGATTCATGTAATGATGTCATTTGGGGGTGGTTGGGGTATAGCCTTTAATACTGTACATGGTTTTGATGCATTGATTTTGTATTGCCGATCAGTACAGAAAGCACAACAGAGCTAGAAAAGATAAGAGTTTTAAGTGATTGTATAATTTTATCAATGTTCTTTAGAGATCCGTAAACCCAAGGTTTCTTTATTTTTGTCCTTTGGTTTTACTCCAGCTGAGCTCAGTTTTTTTAATTGAACAATTAATACTGTAGATTAAACAATTAACTGTTTGGCTTTATTAGACTTTTTTGGTTTTCTTAAGCTCTTAAAGCAGGGAGCAAAACCCTGTCAAATGTTTTTTTAGTAAATTGTAACTTGCATCTATTTACAGTAGGTGCTTATACTGTAAATGCACTTAAACTACAGTTAAGCAAAACTGAAGTTCAACTGGGATGGAAACTAGAAGACAGTTATGTTTTGGACCAGGATTTTGCAAGTTCACATGCTAAGTCTGGTGCTGTAACTTGGTGCTTTTCAAGCACCTTGCAATGCAGCAGAATGTGTATCTGATTTGTGAACAGGCTGCTTCTTAATGTGTGTCCTGATGTGGCTGTACCATACATCATCCACTGTCAAACACAGTGAGGGCCAAAAAGAAGGACCCTGTTTGCCTTAAACACAGTGGAAGCTGTTTGGAATACATTACTAAAGGATAGGTCTGCAGTTAAGTGGGTACTGAATTTCTTTAATCACTTTGCTCTGTGGGAATGTGCTGCACTACCTCCTTGACTATTTAAACCCAGTTCAATTAACGTTTTTCCTGCATGGCAGTTTTATGGGTCTTCTGTATGCATCGCTGAATTTGATATTGCTGATACTTGACCCCTCTGCTCTTTATATATTTACATGTGCTTACGCAAGTTATCACTTATATGCCCAATACTTGTCCGTAGCGAGTGTTTGGTATTTGCATCTCTAACAGATAGATACTTTATTGATCTCGTGAGGGAAATTGCAGTGCAACAGCAGCTTTTCACAGACAACACTGCCACAGTGTAACGAATGCTACAATAATAATAGTACGATACATACAATACAATCAGTACAGTGAGGGGTGCACTAAAAGAGTTACTCACAGTCCAGACACACAAAGAACAAACTAGAACAGAACAGTACGCAGAAAAGCAATTTCTTTAAAATCATTTTAAAGATTTTAACAGTGTCCCTAAGTCCAGTCCCAGTCACCCCGAGAATGATTTTAAAGGTTTCTTGCATTGCTGCAGCAAGATATCAAGATTAGGAAACAAACTTAGACACAGCTTCCTGTGGAATCAGCATTGACATGATGACTTTGATGGACATTCCCGCTGTTCTCTTGGCTATATTTTTTCGTGCTCTAAGCAAAGGGACGGCACAAACATTGGCTTCAGATTGCGACTGCACATTAAAATCTGGAGCCATGAAGGTGATGGGATTTCAAGGTACTGCACTCTTCCAGTTGCAGTTGTCAGGATGCATGTTAAGTGAGGAAATTGCCAAATGTCAATTGCTGTTTTTGTGCTGGCGTGACATTGTGTCAGCCTGGTGTTCTTCAGCGATACCTGCAGGACTCTCACAACAGACAACCTGCAGTGTCAGTGTGCACATGTGTGGTTTTTTGTGAGGGAATTTGAACTACCGCTCTGCTCAGGAACCTTGCAGACGTGTTTTGGGGTCTGAGAGACTATTGTGCAAAAGGAGTTTAGTATACAGTTTAGAATCATTTTTCATTGATAGTTATTTTAGAATCATTTCTCTTTTCCTTTCTTCTAAGATATTCACTATTTTAAAAGCTTTGCTATATACTGTATCACAAGTGCCAAAAGGGTTTTCTCTTTCACTGTCCTAGACAGACAAAGGGGTGCCAGCCATGTTGCCTGTAAATATTAGATATTATAAGATAGTGCTTGGATAGAAGATTTTTTAGCTGTTCCAGGGTAGAAAATTACCATCTGAAGTGGTATATCGATTTGTGTTGCTGCATTCATTCCTTGCATACCTTAAAATAATACAAGTTGAACAGTCCGTGTGAGAACAATGTAAACCAATCATGATGCAGTTCTCATGAAGAAACCAAAAAAAAATTTCAGCAGGATCTGAGTCCAGCCCGACACAAACTATTCCCTTATTTACAAGTTCTTATTGGATTGAAGCTCCTCCCAGAGATACGAGGTGATTGTGGTTCCCAAAGTGGAACGTCTTAGCCAAAACAAACTACCTCTCACATACGTTTCTATTTATTACTTTAGATACATTAAGTAATTACCTCATCTCCTGCAAAGTGAATATTGCAGACTGTGATACCTTAGGGATACGGGGCCCATTCTTAACTTAATTTTTCGTGTAGAAGTCTTCAGTTTGGAGCTGCAGTACACCATTGGAAAGATTTTGGGAATGGCTGAGCTATTTTCATTTTTTTTATTCAGATGGAAGATATGAATCTACAGTAAGTGCAGATCAATCTTCTTGCCCATCAGTTTTTCTTCTACAAATTCTACATTTTTAGTTTGGAAATTCATTTTTTTCTGCTGTACATTACAGTACAGTGGCTCATGGTCACCAGTAAACACAATGTGAACTGTTTACTCATTGGTCTAAAATTGTTCCAATACTGTGCTACAGTAGAGCATCCCAATCCAGAATTTCATATGCATGTGAGGTTATAAAGACAAACCCATGTGCAAACCCATATGGCTGCACTTTTAAATTTGCTTTATTTTTTAAACCTTTTTAAAAATGAACAATTCTTGTGTAATTCCTAGAAAATTGTTCTTAAAGACACTACCTGCAACATGCAGATAAAATAAGAGACTGACCCATTAGTCCATTTCTCTGAAAGCTAAACCTGCTATACTGACATTGTTGTCCCAACAGTTGGTGGCCATCTGTGTCTCTCCCCTATCAGTATTGTGCCCTGCCATCTCGCTGCCTTGCTTTATTCCAGTTATTAACGGTTTTAGTTAAATCTCTTTTAATTTTTAATTTTCTATCTAAGATTCTAGCTAGAACATTCAAGTGGGCCAGTCTCTATGTGCGCAGAACAGCAAAGACCTGGCTTTGTCACAGGATGAAATTCAAGTTTCTCACTTAGAACCCTCTATTTGCTCTATAGTTGTAAACAAAACAATTTCTCCTAGTTGTGTATCAGACTGGGGCTCATTTGATCAACAATAATGCTTGTTGAATCTATAAATAAATCACTTACAGGGTAAAAGCACATTTTTTTATTTTTAGATGTTGTAAATCTCACGTGACATTCAGCTGTAAGGTAGTGGTGGGGGGAAAAAAAAAGATGCAACACTGACATTTGTTGTTTGGAATTCTAACAGAAAAAAAGACAAAGTTATAAAGCTCTTTGACAATTTTTTTATGCAAAAGGAAAAACACTACTCCTACAGCTGGGCACTCCTGTTTTATAGCTTTTGGGAGTTAAAATGGGATGCCTGTGCTGGTTAACCAGAATGTCTGTCTGAATTATCAGATACTTCAGGTGTCATAATTCGCTCCACCATCTCCTCAGTGCAAATCTTAAGGTGTCTGTGTGACCTCGAGTGGAAATCTCATGACTGGACATAGAAAGCACATTTAGGGTAGTGCAGAGACAGCTGTTGATCTGATCTGAGGAATCCGGCTTTTGACCAAAAGACCATGCTACAGCTGACATTTGGGCTGAATGCAAAATGTATTTTGTACTTTTAAAAGACAATTTGAGAAATATTTTTCAGCAGGGATGCATTTTTTTCCTCTCAATTTAAATCATATGTAATTCCTAAGGAACATCTCCCAGGAGCACAGACTCTATCTTTCTGTGATGCTGTCCTTCACAACTGTTCGAGCACTTCACCGACTTTCCCATGAGACAACCTATTGTGCTCACCTGCATGTACATCCTAAGTAAAAACAGATTTGTAGATGAATAGATAAATTAGAAGTGGGCAAAACATGTTCGTTAACAGATAGGTTTGTATATAGATGTTATGGATTTTGCACTTTACATTTAGATTATTGAAAATCTAAATGGTAGAGAAAATATATATTTGTAAAAAAAATGTAAGAAAATTACAAATTACGGTTTGTATGGGGAGACCCCATACAGTGGTTAGAGGGCTCCCCCTAGTGCCACTTTGTGCATGATATCTTCAGCCTTATATTGACAGCAGCTGCCAGTCTGTCTGCCCCCTGTGTGAAGGGTTCATGCTCACATTATATAACTCTATTTTGTGTGGGGGTGTGTAGGCCCAAGTATAGTGCCTTTCAAGGCCCGGACCTGCTCTAAATTTTAGGATT